CCTCAGACAGACTGTGGATCTGGCCCCCACCGTCCAGCATCAGGAGGCAGGTGCCTCCGTGCCAGGATGGATGTCTGTAGGCTCTGGGAACAAAGACTAATAACTTCAGCCCTCTGTAGTGGGACAGGTGTGTCACACAGTCACCTCTGGGCTGAGCCCAGGGCAGGGTGAGGAAGAGGAGGGGACCCTTCCCCCCAGATAATGCCAGTGCCTTATGGGACTGCCCTCGGGGATGGCGCACAGAGGGATCTGCAGGTACAGAGGAAGAGCATAAAGGGGGTGGCGTGTTTAGAAACAGGATATTGTTGTGTGGCTAAGGCTCCTGAGAAAGGTGGTGAGACACGAGGAGCTGGATTTTTTATTTCACTACATTTTAATTAATTTTATTCTCCATGTTCCCACGTGGCTAGCAGCTTCCCTATTGGACAGCACAGGTCTGAGGAGGGGAGAGCAAAGGGCTTCCGGTCCCCTCCTGGGGGGGCTTTCCTTTCGCTGGCTGCAGGCCTCCTGGGAGCCACGGTCCGTGGACAAGCTGCCGAGACTGTGGGGAGTTGCTCGCAGGAATAAATCAGAACCGGGGCCGTTCGTGTAATGGTTCAGGGGCCAAAAGAGATGCTTTTGGAGTGGTTGGACACAGTTGTTTATTTTCCTCTAAAATATCGGAGACACATCCCTTCAGTCTTGTTTATGTGATAAATTGACTCTGTGAAACTTGTTTTATAAACTAAAGGTCAGCCTCAGTGTAGGTCGTCAGAATTAATGCGGTTTGGCCAGACTTTAGCTGTTGCGCCGTGTTCCCGCTTAGGTCCATATTGGCTGTTCAGTTTTTGCTTGTGTTTATAGTTTTTACACACACATTCTGGCCAAGACTGCAGGTCTTTTTCCTTCTTTTAAGCTTGGGTAGATCTGGGGAGAGGAGGGTGTGGGTGAGTGCCCAGTCTTTTAGGAATCTTAGCCCGGATCAGTGGACGCCTTTGGCTTCTTGAGGCTCTCAAGTTTTGTTATTTTGTTGTTGTTTTAGGATTGGGGCTGTTCTTACATGTAATTGACAGAAGACTTTTTCTAGCACTCAGTCTTAATCATTCTAACTTCTCCTGACCAAGTTTCACCTTAATTATCTGTAAATATGCACCATAATGAAGGGTGTGTTTCTGAGTGGGGAGGTAATTGCTTTTCCCTCTTTCAGTTTTAATTTAAACTCAACCTCTACGCCTACCTCACCTTTATTTCCAGGCTCTTAACAGACTGTGGAAAAGCAACAGTTACCGTTTATCCTCTCTTCCCTGAGTTTGGGAAACAGCACATCCCCTTTTAATAACAGAGGTAGAAGATTCCATATGGTGGCCTATTTTTACAAGACTTTTATGCAGGAAGAGATCAGGGAGGGGTGTACCCCACAGTATAATGTGGGAGGAAATTTGTCAGAGTTCAGCGGTATTATGAAGCATATTTCATCTGTGGTCGGCCTTCCACACTGAGATAGATGACTACTCCGGTGCCCATTTTTCTCAGCACAGTTGAGTCAAACCCCTGTGGGTGGATTTACTCTGTCATCCTTGAGGGTGCCAGAGGCTGGAGAACTAACATCAGTTGAGGAGGCAGAATAGATCTCCCTGGCTACTCACTGGCTTTTCCAGAATGTCTGCTGCCCTGTACCGATCCCATGTGGCTTCCTAGTCATGGGTCCCAGCCAGGTCCTTCCCCTGTGGATATCCTTTCTCTGAATCTACTTCCTGCCTGCTCAGATCCATTGTTCCTGCTGGGGCCTGAGCGACCTTCAAGTACAGCTCTCCCTTCTCTGCGGCGAAGCCTTCGGTAGCTGCCCCCTTTCTCCAGGCTCAGCCAGACACCCTTGCCAGCCTCTTGAGTCCCTGCCTGCCTTTCTTGTCTCAGGGGCACTGACTGAGCTGCTTTTTGGTCCTGTTGTATGTCAGCTCTCTGCTGGGCACTGAACACAGCCATGAGCAAGTTCGGCCCTTAAAGAAGACCACTGAAAAAAGGAAAAAGAGACATAAAGTTAATTTTATTAAAACATTTAAGCTAATATGTCCAGAATATTATCATTTTAATGTGTGGCACTGGCCATATGTCCATGCTCAATAGACATGTGTGCCTTGTCGGTACCCCAGTAGGCAGCACAGGTCTTAAGGTGAGCAGGACAAATAGAAAAGCAGGCCAGGTACATGATAGTCCTGGACTTCTGGCTTTGTGTTTATTTAGGGCATTATCTTGCTAGATTGTGAATTCTGAGCAGGCATGGGCATTGCCCTGTTTTGCTCACCGTTGTATCTCTAATACCTGGATTAGTACTTAGCACATAGTAGGTGCTCAGTAAATTTTATCAGCTGAACTATGGAGTAAGCACAGGGTGCTACGGGAAAAGTCCGGGTGAATAACCAACCTGTCTGAGAAGGCTTTCAGGAGGAGGCCATGTCTCTAAATCAGCTTGCAAAATTGGAGTTGGAGTTGAACCCAGGGGTCAGGAGGAGACAGGGAGAGTAGTGCACAGTGCTCAGAAGTAAAGAAGAGGAAGAAGGTTGGAGTGGGGGGAGTTGCAGGAGTTCCTTGTGACAGAAGCTTAGGGTACAGTTGGGGAGGGGGTCAGGAGGTGGGGCTGGAGAAGTAATGGGGGCCAGATCACCCAGAGGTTTTAAAGCTGCCACAGTGTCGACGCCTCATTCTGAGGATGTGCAGAAAAAGCACCAGCGTCCTGGGTCGGGGCATGGCCCCTTGAACTTGTGTGGTGCGTTTCTCTCCTCTGTGTGTGTAACGTTTCTCCCTTCACACCTCCTAGCCCACAGAATGGGCTTCATGAGAATATTGGCTGACTTACGTTTCCACGTAGGCTAACCGAGCTGGTGTTGGTGTCTTCTGCTGTCTGTGGGAAGCTTTAGGAGGAGGAGCAGGTGTAATTACTTGCATGCAGGTCAGAAATTGTTCTAGCAATTCCCGACCAAATTCTCTCCAAGTGCTGGAATACATGTTGATTAGATCAAATATGTTTTTCAGTAATGGCCCTTCACCTGGGGATTGGGACCTTCCAGAGCTTTGATGAGTAATTGAACTTGTGTCTTTGTGAGAGTTGTACTCTCTGACACACGGTCGATAAAGCTTCAGGAACCAGTGATTCTGACACAGCCCTGAAAAAATCCTGTCTTCTTGCTGTCACTGGCAGAACCCAGCAAGTCGGTGCACGAGCTACAGGGTACTGTTTGCTGGGTGGCAGACTGGGGAGTAAAAGTTGATGAGACTTCCAGAGAAAGAGTTCAACAGTGAGTTTCATGGGTTATGTTCTGTTTCCACATTCCTTTTCCTATCTCAAGGGAAGGTCAAGAACAGACTAATGATGACCTAGGAAAATAAAAGCTAGTTCTCTATAAGGAATTTTGACTTTATGTCAATCCTTACCTACCCCTTCCTACAGTATGTCAGAAAATAAGGCTTTTTTTTTTTTTTAAATTTCAAGTAGACTCTGTACCCAATGTGGGGCTTGAACTCATGACCCTGAGATTCAGAGTTGTATGCTCTACAGCTGAGCCAGCCAGGTGCCCCAATAATGCTTTTTAAAATATCACTTCTCCTGGGGCACCTCGGTGCCTCAGTTGGTTAAGCATCGGACTCTTGGTTTCGGCTCAGGTCATGATCTCAGGGTGGTGAGATCGAGCCCTGCCTCGGGCTCCGCGCTTAGTGGGGAGTCTGCTTGAGATTTGTCTCTCCTTCTCCTCTGCCCCTCCCCATGCTCTCTCTCTCTCTCTCTCTCTCTAAAGTAATAAAATCTTCAAAAAAATAGTCATTGTTGCTTTAGAATGAGACTTAGGGTGCTGATATTGAAAGTGGATTCAAGAAGTGATTCATCTGGGGCACCTGGGTTAAGCCCCACTCTGGGCATGGAGCCTGCTTAAGATTTTCTCTCTCCTTCTCCCTCTGCCTCCCCACCCCCCACTTGCATGTCTTCTCTTAAAAAAAAATAAAGGTGATTCAGGAAGGCTGGACATGAAGGACTCTGTGTTGCTCTGAGGTGGTGTGCTATGTCTCTGATGACAGTCGACTGCAATTTTTTATGATTAAAACTCACGACGAGTAGTAACGATGTTATTGAGTGTCGCCGTATACCAGATACTGGGCTAGGTCCAGCTTCCCCTGCAGTTCTTCGTTTCTTTACAGTGACCCTGTGGTAGGTGTCACTCTCCCAGTTCACACATGCTCTCTTCCTCCTGTCACAACTGAAAGTGACACATTGCTCTTCTGCGGTGTTGAATTGGGTTAAAAGGAAATTTTACCCCTGTAACTTTTATGAAAGCAGAGCTATACTTAAAATTCCTGATTTGATTAGTCATTGAGCAGTTCTTACTTGAGCACTTACGATGTGCTAGACACTGTAGGTGCCATATCCTACTACTATGTGGTGGTTGATCTCTTAAAGTGTACTATTAAATGGAGTGTAGTAGAGGAATATTAAATACTTAAGTGTGTCTAATTAATCATTCAACCTTGCAAAGTAGATATTGTTACGCCCTGGTTCTGGAAGAGAAGCCTAGGCTAGGAGAGGATTAAGAAGAACATGCTTTCTAACCCAAACAAATTCACGTCTGGGTCTTTGCAAATCCAGAGTGGGTTCCTGCTGCCTCCGGGCAGGGAGGTCTTGCCGGAGTGGGGATACACTGGTGGCTGATCTGCCTCACCACCCCCTCGTCGCTCCTCCCCCTGCTCCCTTTCGCCTCTCTTGGGAAGGAGCATCTGGCAGATGCGCACAAATCTGAGCTGTGCTTGGTCATGGGGAGAATTGAGACTGGTTGGAAGTAGAGTCGGTCTGAGGTAGAACCCTTGTCACTGCAGGAGGCGGACGTCCAGTGTGCAGTGTGGGCAGAGGTGGCTCAGGTGCTTCGTGTGGATGAGACATCCAAGAAGGCGTTGGCTTTTGGGGATGACTCCATCTTCACACCACACTGAGGATTTGTCCCCCAGAAACAGCTCACTAATACCACTTCTCTATATTCTAGGCTTTGGATGTGGACCGGATGGTTCTTTACAAAATGAAGAAATCCGTGAAAGCAATAAATATCTCTGGGCTGGGTGAGTATGCATTCTTTCCTAGGGGTTTCTTTGTGTAAATCCTTGCATTAGCAGAAACTGATGCCGTAATAGTGATCACCGTTAATGAATAATCCACCAAACATTTTTTTCTAGGCATGCAAATTGTAAAGTTGAGTTGGGATGTTTAGTTTTTAGAAGTGTGTTTTGTTTTGTCAAGCCTCTAATTCTGGAATGGCACTTCATCTGCTGCCCCCGACCCCCACCCTCCCACTATCCCATGCCCTGCTTCCTGTTCTCTGAAGTGCAGCTGAGTTTCCCACCACACCACCTTTGTCTAACGGATCGACAAGGACACCGGCCTCATTCCTGCCTCTGTTGTTTGGTTTGTGTATTAATCATGTCAGAATGGCCCTTCCGTTTATCTCATCTGATGCTTGCCTTTCTTGTTTGGGATGACAGTTAACATAAAAGCACAATCAACTATTCAAAGTAATGTCTGATCTAGACTAGTAAACTTTTTTCTGACTTAAAGATTTCAAGCTGCACACATGTGGCAGGTCTGCCCCCTGCTCAAAACCTTACCGGTGATAGAAAATAATTTTTTTTTAAGTCATGAAGTGACTCTGTCATTTCTCTCAGAAGCCAGCCGGTGGCAGGCTTGGAGGGCTAGAAGTTGTGAGAGCTCCCAGAGACCGTGGAAACAGGTGATGGACGGCAGAGAGCAAGGCTGGCTCGTGGGAGAGCACACTGCTGCCGAGTATGGCAGAGACACCCCCTTTGCCCGTGGCTGGTGGCTGGGAGGAGGAGGGGGCCCAGGCTCTGTGCCTACAGACGCAGTCAGGCCACCACCCTTGTGATGTTCCCTTTGATGACAGTAGCAACTGGAGTAGAAGGACAGGGAATGGCACAGGTGGTTAAAAGGAGGGAGGGGCAGGGAAGGGTCTGGAAGTACCTGCTGTGCCCAACCCCGCCCCCACCCTAGTTCTGCTATTGTGAGCAGCAGCTCCAGTAACTGCGTTTGCCTCCCCTAGGGAGGGCTGTGCCAGCCAAGATTATGAAGAGGCCAGTAGGAAATCTCAGGTACAAAGGTGGTATTACAGTCAAGAATGGCTAGTATATTTAGGAACAGATTTAACAAAAGATATGCAAGAACTCTATTGAAAACTATAAAACACCACTGAAAGAATTAAAGACCTAAATAAATGGGGAGGTATATGATGTCTGTGGGTTGGAAGACTCAATATAGTCATGATGTCTATTCTCCCCAGATTGATCTCAAGATGCACCACAGTCCTAATCAGAATTCTAGCCGGAGAAATTGACAAACTGATTCCAAAACTTATATGGAAACGCACAGGACCTGGACTATCCCAAGCAATCTTGGGGCAGAAACAAGTTGGGAGAACTTAAACCATCTGACTTCAAGTCTTGTGAGCCAGTAATGGTCTACACTGTGTTGCTAGCTGGGGCAGGGGGCGGCCAACAAAGAGGTGACTGGAACAAAAGACAGTCTAGAAATAGACCTTCACTGAGAGGTGTCTGACTGTCAGCACAGTTGCCGAGGCAGTCCCCATGGGGAGACGAAGATGTTTCTAGCACATGATACCAGAACAGCTGGATCTTTCCAGCAGAACAAAAGAAGTACAGCCCTCTCTCCCACCCTACACAAACAGTACTTAGAAATGGCTCATAGATTCAAACTTAAAAACTAAAACTATAAAGCTTCTTGAAGAACACATAGGAGAACATCTTTACAACACGGGGCAGGCAAGGCTCCTTGGAAAGGACACAGAAGGCAATAGCGTAAAAGAAAAAAGTGGTTAAATCAGACTTCATCAAAACGAGACACTTCTACGTGCTCAAAAATGCTATTAAGACTAGCCTAACAGGCGCCTGGGTGGCTCAGTTGGTTAAGCGACTGCCTTTGGCTCAGGTCATGATCCTGGAGTCCCGGGATCGAGTCCCCCATCGGGCTCCCTGCTCAGCGGGGAACCTGCTTCTCCCTCTGACCCTCTTCCCTCTCGTGCTCTCTGTCTCTCATTCTCTCTTCCTCAAATAAATAAATAAAATCTTTAAAAAAAAAAAAAAGACTAGCCTAACATTTGATGGGCCCCCAATCAAGAAAGTAAAGAGCTTACACTCGAGGAAACTAAATTAATAGGGCAATCAGAACAGGACTCTAAAATAAGAGCATATGTATGATTAACATCCTTAAAAAGGCAAGGGAGGTATTTAATTACTGGGACCAGAAAAGGTACTAGTGAAAAAGAACCAGTAAAAGGTGTGAAAATAGAAAAATATATCATTGTTGAAATAAAAACTAAAATTTGCTAAATGGCAGGCTACACACACATAGGAGAGGGGATTGGTGAGGCCCCTTGTTGCTGGAACGTGAGTTAAAGGAATGGACAGTGTAAAGTAAAAATCAAGAGCCACAGAAAACAGATTCAGAGTGGTCAGTATTAGCACCCACCCAAAAGGACTTGTAGAAGAGGGGGAAAAAATGGAAAAGGGGAAAGTTTTAAAAAAGTAATAGCTGACAAATTCTCAGAACTAAAGAAAGATTTGAGATCTCGGGTTGAGGGGCACCTGGGTGGCTCAGTCAGTTGAGCATCCGACTCTTGATTTCTGCTCAGGTCGTGATCTCAGGGTCATGGGATCAAGCCCTGTGTTGGGCTCCACGCTGGGCATGGAGCCTGCTTAAGATTCTCTCCCTTTCCCTTTGTTCCTTCACCCTGCCTCCCTATAAAAGATAAAATAAGATCTCAGATTGAGAGAGTGCACTGAATTCTAAGGAAAACAGATTATAAACACACATGTGAATGTACATACACACAGTGTGTGTGGTATGTATGTGCATATGTCTGCGTCTGTGTGTGTTTATGGGTGGATATGTGTACATATCTCAGGACGTATCCTACTATCTTGACCTCAGGGATAAAGAGAAAATCAAAAATTTACCAAGAGGGGAATGAGCATATATATAGGAAAAAAGATTTGGGGGCAGTATGCTAAAAAATGATTGTTTTGGTGTTTTGACTTTATATTTTCCCCCCTTCATTTTCCATATTTTATATATTGTAATGTATTGATGTTAAAATGATTAGACAGGTATTAAGTTGTTTATGGTTAAGTTCCAGATGAACATGAAAGAAGTTCAGGAAAGCAGAGAAGAGGTGGGAGGGACTTAAGTTGTTCGTGACTGAGCTTGTCCCGACTGAGTTCGAAAGCTTTTTGGAGTTTGTGGTGTTGGCTCTTTTACCCTGGAGCGAATCGCTTAGCATGTTTTAGCCTTGGTTTCCTTGTCTCTGAAATAATCCAGTTGGGTTAGAATGCACATCAGTGGTTCTCAACCAGGGTGATTTTGCTCCCCTCAGTGTGGTTACTAACAACTGAGAGGTGTGTGCGTGCATGTGTGTGTGGGTGTGTGCACATATTTGGGCACCTCATGGGTCAAGGCCAGGGATGCTGCTAAAGATCCTACAAAGCACAGGAGAGCTCCCAACAAAGAATTAACTGGGCCCAAATGTCAATAGTGCCAAGGTTGAAACCTTCAACTAGATGTTCTTCAGAGTCTTCTACAATTTTGTTTTTTGTTGTTTTTTTTTTTTTTTTTAAGACTGTATTTATTTATTTGAGGGAGAGAGGCAGGGGGAGAGGCAGTGGGAAAGGGAGGGAGAAACTCTCAAGCCGACTTCCCCCTCAGCATGGAACCCAATGCAGGGATCAGTCCCATGACCCTGGGATGATGACCTGAGCTGAAATCAAGAGTTGGATGCCCAACAGACTGAGCCACCCTGGCGCCCTCAAAGTCCTCTACAGTTTTTTAAAAAAAAAAACAAAACCAGAAACCGCCACCATGCTTAGCTTGCAAGTACATAAACATGGATTACCTGGCAACTACTGATTTTATGAAAGAAGGAAGTAGAATTAGTTTTCATTGAGTAACACCTAACTGGAAGTAAACCTATGTAGGAAAGTATTTTTTATTAAAAAGGAAATATCAAACAGTATAAAACTCTTCACTCAACACTGAGCTTTGCTGAAATAAATGTTAGACTATCCAAGAAGGTGGTCACCTGTCTCCAGCTCTTTCCTAGATAAGTAGGGAAGGGGCAGGGAGGAATAATGATTGTTTGTAGGTTTTTGGACGCTTATTACAAACCTTGTGCTCTCTGTGCGTTATGCTAATCTTTACAGCCAACTGTTCTCATTTTATAAATGAGTCACCTGAGATCAGAAGGCTAAACGTGTTCCTGGGCCGCTCCGTGGAACTCGGCTTCCTGCTGGCCCAGGCTGTGTGCAGGGCCCGCTCTGCTTCGAGGCCACCACGTCTTCAGGCTGACTGGTGCACTGACTGACTCTCTTCAAGATTTCCAGAAATCACTCAAAGATGGATGCTTAGTTCTTTTGACAATAGATTTCAAAAAGTTTCTCAAGAGTTTTTTTTTTTTTAACCGTGTTCACTTGGGCTTTTGAGTTTCTGCTTTAAGGCTAGTTTAAAAGGGGGAATATTTTGTATTCTGATGAGGTTCAAGAGTGATTTTAAAGTCCTCTGTCGAGAAGGCTTTTTTTTTTTTTTTAAGATTTTATTTATTTGTTTGACAGAGAGAGACACAGCGAGAGAGGGAACACAAGCAGGGGGAGTGGGAGAGGGAGAAGTAGGCTTCCCGCTGATCAGGGAGCCCGATGTGGGGCTCGATCCCAGGACCCCGGGATCATGACCTGAGCCGAAGGCACACGCCCAACGACTGAGCCACGCAGGCGCCCCAGGAAGGCTGTTCTGATCAGAAATAAAAATGAAGGACTGCTTCTCATGCAGGCGTTGGCCACGTGACTGCGGCCAGTCCTGAGAAGGACCTGTGTGTCCCTGTAGGCTAGCCCAGTTCCCCAGCACGTAGCTTTAAACAAGCAAGCGTAGAGGAAGGTGTTGTAAACACATAGGTGTCAGGAAGCCAGCCTGTACAAATTTAGTAACACTTGTGTCACATCTGCCTTTCTGACCTATATTGTTGAGTGTGTGCCACAAACCTCCTTCC